CCCCAAAACCCCAAAACCCCAAAACCCCAAAACCCCAAAACCCCATAAAATTATTACTGCAGATAAATTTAAAATATATTCAAATGGAAGAAACTGAGCAAAATCCTGCTCTTCAAAATCTTGTTCCAAGCCCAATTGAGCTGCAAGACAAGCACCCAATGGTTAGTCCTCTGAATTCCAGCGAGGAGCTTGAGCCTATTGACCCAAAATATGAAAAATCTCGTACTACTAAATCAAAAAGGTTCAACTCAACTAATGTAAAATATAAAAATGCTGCAAATAAATAATGGCAAAAGTTCAGATAAAATGAATCCCTTAAGAAAATGGAGTCAGTGTAGGTCTTATTGGTACATCCAAAGCTTAACCTATGTTCTAAAAGTTTAAAGACCTGCTAGATAACTCTTAAATATAGGTGGAAACATCAAAAATAATATATTAAAAAAGAGCAAAGGGAGGACTTTAAGAGTCCATACAGCTGGAAATAAGAAGAGGCATATGTATACTGGAGGATATTCTAGCTTAAATGAAACTCATGCACATGCTAATACAAGATTTGTAGTGAGCTCAAAAGGCAAGAGGCCTGCTTTAAATTCTAAGAATAATAGTTCAAATCAAGTTCCCATCAATGGCAACTTCAATAGAATCTATACTCCGCAAATGAACATGAGGAAAGATGCTAGAAGGATGAGGAAAAATGTTTCTAAGACTAAAACAATGGCTACTTCTGATATAGATGGGAAGAATTCAACTGATCCGATTCATGTCTCGAGTCTTAACAAATCTAATATGTCAACCAATTGTTATTCAGTGAAAAGGAGACAAAAGTTTAGAATAAATTCTGCTCATCCAAACCATTTCAATAGGCTAAGTTCTACTGGAAATTGGATGAATAAAAATGATATTGAGAGATCAAAGTTTACAAGTCTTTCTTCCAAGGATTGGAAGATCTTCTCTGTCAGAGAGAGCTGAGGTAATAAAAATTCTTCCAGAGTTCTACGAAACTGATGCTCTGCAAAGAAAGGTAGTCAGAAACTACACCTTATAAACCATAATAAAAGAATGTTCAACCAGAGGAAGTATGCTTTTAACAACGCTAGGCATATTGATGACACAATGCTGCAGTCAACCAAAGCAGATAAATTGATAAAATACCCTCATTCCACTAAGAATTGAAGTAGTCAAGGAATAAATTCAGCTTTTTCAAATTCCTTTATGAATGCAATGTTCCGAGATTCTTCTTTAGGAGTAGCTCAGCGCCAGAAGGAGACTATTCTAAGAGATCAGAGGAACAAGCTTCAAAAGGAAATGAGGAGAAAGCAATATATCTTAGAAACTCAGAAATAAAATTAGCTTGATGAACTACTACAAAAGGGAATATAAAATCAAGGTAAATCATAAAGTAATGGAGTCACTTACCATTCCTGAGTTTGAGGAATACCTAAACAAACGTTTGCAAGATACAAAGAAAAAGAAAGCAATAAGTATACTTAAAAAGCATATTCTTGTGTATGTCTTCAGGAGAAGGTTCAAGAAAAAGCTTAATGAAAGATTTAGAGCTATTATATTTATCCAAAAATGGTACAGGAGATCCTGGAACCGAGTCTCTCGCAAAATGAAGAGGAAGAGACTAGAGGCTTCCAAAGTGGTTGCAAAATTTCTGAAATCTTACCATGTCTTTATGAAGCATCGAGAATATTTGTACAAATTAAGATTACAAAAGCATTTTATGTATTTTGCTGACCTTAGAGATGGACTACTCACCAAATCTCAGAGGGTCATTCGGAAGCATTGGATGGTAACAAGAGTCAGAATTAGAGCTAGAAGAGCAGAGCATAGGGCATTCCTAGCAAAAGCCTTAAGAATGTTCACTTTGAAAATTTTCATTAGAGCAAAGAAAAATATTGAAATTATAAACCATTTTAGGAAGAAACGAAGAACACCTGCTCATCGTAGTTGGAGTTGAAGGTCAATTGGAAAATCTAACCCAAATAAAGATGATGTCAACAAAAGATCGATAAGAAAGAAATTGAGAGAATATGGACTGCCCAAGCACAACTATTATAGGTTTAGTGATGAAATTACCTATACAAAGGACTTATATGAAGCAGAAAAGAAATTTATGGGAGAAGGATTTAGGAGATCTGTATCTGAAGAAACTCTCAAAACCAAAAATAGGCTTGATTTTAGATCAACTTTCTTGAACTTGCCTGGTGCAAAACACTTACTTAAAGAAATAAAAGTTATTGAAGAGATTCAGAAACGACCAAAAGGAAATACCTTAGAAGATGAATATGAATATAAAAATCTTCCAAAATGATCAGTATCAGAGATTACCCAAAGAGTATGAGGAAGATACTACAAAAGAAAGTATGACTATATTGGCACTCAAGAAATGCCTCTGTTTGGATGGATATATTCTGAAACAGTTGGATGGACAAAGAAAAGAAAGCAGCTAAAACTCAATAAATATGACTATAAAATAAGTAATTTCCATATTGACCATATTTAGGACAACAAGAGGTTTTATCAAAGATGAAAAACACGATAAACTCTAAGCACAACAACAGCTATTCTCAGGCGAATAGTAATAACATGAACAGGACGATCTCTCCGTCTGGTAAGAACCACACATCGAGCTTTAACTCCTAAAGGGCCCAGCAGGCTTGCATAATATTCCTATATTCTTTAATGAAAGGGGTTTTGGGGTTTTGGGGTTTTGGGGTTTTGGGGTTTTGGGG